TTGGTAGGGATCCCAATTCGTCGGTCATCTGATGTGACGTCGAGAGTGACCGACTGAAAGGGAACGTCTTGGTTACGTATGTAACCCTCGTTCCCTGAAGGAGGGAAGGGAGACGTCACGTCCCGTCGCCACAGCTCCTGTACCACCGCTGAGCGGCCGGGTCACCGGCTCGGCTCCTCAGCGAAAACCTGAATATGCGCTGCACCGGCTGCTTACTTATACTCACACTGTGATCAGCGGCAGCTGGATGCAATAATCGCATGCCAATGTGCATTGGCTCGTTTAGTTTACACTCGAAGTAGATTGGTCCCTCTAAGCGAGATCCCAATTTCGTCGGTCATCCGACGTGACGTCTCCGTTCCCTCCTTCAGGGAACGAGGGTTACATACGTAACCGAGACGTTCTGTCTAAAGTCTGCAGCTGCCTCTAGAGGGCTGCATCACAGGTTCAATCAAACTATTTCTCTCTTTGGAAGGATGATTTTTAAGGGAGACTGGATGGCTAGGACTGACAACAACAAATAAGAACAACCCTGACTATGATCTGCAATGTTTTACTTTACATGTGGCAAGTTAATTAGTTGGTTGATAGTATCATACAGGCCCGAATTGGCTAATCGGTAGCACCAGGAGAATTCCCGGTGGATCGGTCTGTTTTTTTGGCCGCAAGGGGCTGATGTTGTCATGCCACTGGGGTTGAAATATGGATGCTGTTTGAGATAGGCTTTAAGACCAATCCTCTGTCGGCTGTTTCCGCTTCACAGCGAGCTGGATTTGCGCTAATGGCAATTCCCTTTCACTATCTGCATTTAAATTTTGCCAAATCAGTTTGGGCGAATGCAAACAACTTATTGATCATGAGCCCAACATCCAGCAAGGCAGGAAAACATTCAGTCTACCTGAGGTAAGACGTATTTCACTATTGTAAGTTAATGCTGTTAAAGTGCCCCTATTATGATTTTTTGAAAACCTTTCATGCAGTGTGTAACTCTGCTAAAGCTAGTGAAAAGTTAGTGAAGGGATGGATTCTGGAATCCACTGCCGCTTCAATATATATCATTTTGAGTGATTAATTAAGTTGTTAACTAATATTATTCTTCAAAATATTAAATGATTTGAACTTCCCCATGTGAAACTTGAAGAGTACAGAATTACATGTCTTCTCACTGGAATGTGATCTCTCCTTGGTTTGAGAAAACACTCAACACGTTAAAACGTACATTTACTCTTCTGAATTACTAGGACAGCTTAGGGCACAAAGGTCATTAGGGCCTCTCATCTACATGACCAATTTACAATTAAAGTATTTATTTTTCATCTTAAAACATTAGAAAATACTTGTCTGAAACCTCTAGCTGAGAAAAAGTACTTCTGGATGTTTGGGGAAAGTACCTGATTAGAGCTTGGGTTTGAACAACCCAGCCTTGAAGATGTTGCGTATTCTGTGTGTGTGTGTGTGTGTGTACCTGTTTTTCTATTCTGGTGGGGACTTAAACCTGAATACACACAGACTCATGGGGACTCATTTCACGGTGGGGACCTAAATGTGTGTGTTAGTATCTGTCTGTGCAGGACCAGTCTCTAGGGAGATTCGTAAATGGCACCCAGGAGGGAAGACTCATCTGGACATCTTCCGTCAACCTGATGCATGCGTGGCAGATATACGTCTTGGCTGACACGTTGAGTGTGAACTTATATATATATATAATAATAATAATAATAATAATAATATTAAATAATAATGGAAATTATTTCATCTTGATTTCCTCTGCTTGTGAAACACTAGTCTATATGAGCAGCATGTGTGGATCACTGCAGCCATCTACTGGACAATTCAATTAATCTACTGGTTTTCTCCCCAGAATAAAATTACATAAAATGTGTTTATGTAAATTACAAAAAAAAGAAATGCATTAGTGTTAATTACTTTAATTTGGTCATTTTTGTGTCTTTTTTAATTAATAAAATCGCCCCTCCCTTAATACACATGAAGAACACACGTATACAATCAAAATGTAGGTTTCAACGCATTACATTTCCCGACTTTTTAGTTTTTAACAATTCTGTTAAAAGTTGAACTACTTCTAAACCACCAGTTGGCTTGAAGGTAACACTTTGAATGTTTGCTGCCATCTCCAGCACTGACACTGCAGGGTTAATTAACTGTTCATTAGCATCTTTTTTCTTCTTCAATATTAGAATACCAGGGGAAATATCTGTTATTAGATATTAAAAAGCTAGTTTTTTTCACACTTTGAAATGTTGCGACTTCCTTTGCTAATCAGCTAAACTAGAAGTTCTCTGGCCCTCGAGGTACACATTCCACACCCCAAAGGTTAATAATAATAAATGATGGTAATTTACATTGTAGAGCAAAACGACAAAGTATCGTCAAGTTATGTTTACCACGGACCTTATTTGACTCAAACTGGAAAAAACTCATTTTAAAAACCCATAGGAAAATCTCAAGGGAACCAGCAGTGAATTAGTCTTACAGGTTTTGACGGCACACATGCAGCACCCATAGATATACAATATTATTATTCTATTATATTTATGGCAGCACGTACACACCTGCTAGTAAAAAGGCAACTCCCAAGACCCAAAACCCTTTGCTCATTTTGTCACTTTAAAATTTTGCCCTAAATATAAGATGAAATAGTCTATAAAAATTACGATGTTTATAGAAGATGGATTGTCTGATAAATCACAATAAATTATCACATCCAACATTTTAGTTGACGCATGTTTAAAAAAAAAAAAGCAATGAAACTGGAAGAGTGTTACATGTCTGCTGTTTCATTGCATTTAGTCTTCCTTGTCCTGTGACCTAGTTTTCCTCAGTTGTCTGATTACTGATCCTGTTCACCTGGCGTCTCATTAATTAACTCATTAGTTCCCTTTGTTTGCCCTGTATATAAACCGAGTTCTCCCTTTTCCTCTGTTCATCCTCATTTGCAGTGGAGTGTGGTGTTGTTCCCTGTGGTGTTTATTATTAAAACGGTTTTCGTTATTCTCTCTTTTGTTGTTAACTTCAACTTCATTTATTTAATTTGTTTCCCAAAGTGCTTCACAAATTAAGGATAAAAATAAAATACACACACAACAGTAAACAAACATTTATAAAAGGTTCCCAAGTCAAACTTTCCCTACTTCAAAGGCCAGACTAAAAAAATGCATCTTCAACTGGAACCTAAAAACCTCTGTAGATGGAGCCTGCTGAATATACAGGAGAAGACCGTTCCATAATTGTGGACCTACTACTGAAAAGGCACGGTCACCTTTTGACTTCTGTTTGGACCGAGGGACAGTCAGCAACGACTGATTTACTGATCTAAGTGACCTAGCCGGTGTGTGAGACCCTAAGAGATCACTAATATAAGTTGTGTAAAGCTTTAAAAACCAATGATACAATCTTAAACTCAATCCTATACCTGACTGGTAGCCAGTGGAGAGATGATAGCACCGGAGTGATGTGTTCCCTTTTTTTTGTGCCAGTCAGAACCCTAGCTACGGCATTCTGCACGAGCTACAATCGAGATAGTTGCCGTTGACAGATCTCTACATAAAGTGAGTTACAGTAATCCAGTCGCGAAGTGATAAAAGCATGAATAACAATCTCCAAATCTTTACAATTCAGAAAAGGTTTTAACTTTGAAATAATTCTAAGCTGATAAAAACTGCTTCTTACAACCAAATGAATCTGTTTATCAAAACTGAGAGATGAATCAATTATGACCCCAAGGTTTCTCACACTGTTTTTCACTGTCATTTCTAAGGGGGCAAGAGAGTTGGCTATCTTCTCTTTAGCCTTAGAAGGACCAAATATTATGATCTCAGACTTTTTTCATTAAGCTGAAGAAAATTATTTGAGAGCCAAGCTTTAACCTCATCTAGACATTGTAACAGGGACTGTAAAGACTGCGCTATCACTGACTGCCACATTTCATAACAAAGAGCTTGTAGAAAAGAAATATGTTCCCATTTTTTTATACATGTATATACACATACATATATATATATAAATATATTGTACATATACTTTACATATATACATTGTAACCCACCCACCGCAAATAGGTTACAAGATCAGATCCAAACACACAGTCAGGGTGTCCAATCTAGCCCCAAAGACCCCCTGACCTAAATGAATGTATTTATTTAGTCATCATTAGATTGGCTAACAAGTATTATAAATTGGTCATGATTCTTCATTAATCTCCAAAGAATTCCTCTCATCTGGGTGGCTGTTGAATCTCCTGGAGACTGTTCCACTCATAACCCTAAACGACCCCTGCAATCACACCATTAGACCATTAGTACAAATATAGGCAGCATTTCCTACAAATTTAGGAGGATGTAATATATACCTATCCCATCAACTTCCTAATTTTAGACCAGAGTAGGGTCTGAAATCGAGGAATTGAAAAGAACTGATAGCTGTTGATACTCAGTTTAATTTGTTTGTATTACATGGCTCTGAAATGCCAGATTCTGGTTGCTCAGTCACAATATTCCACAGTTATACCGTGATAATGACTGGTGTAAATAGCAGAGCTTATCCACCTTGTTTTCAACATGAAAGTGAGCTATTTTCTTTAAATACGAGACTTAGCACCACAGATGTGCTTTCATTCAAATGCAGCAAGTCAGCAAAATGAAACTGGTGGACTTCTGTGTTGATAGGCCTTTGCTAATATTGTTGAAGTGTTCCTTTTGTTGATAGAACAACTGTTTTTTACACTGTAATAGAATATAAGATAATAAACAGATAAGATCCAATTTCATTATAATTAAAGAGAAGACATTTTCACTTTCCACCTCTCTTTCCACACGGGACTCTACTGTTTATAGCTAAAACGTACCTTTTTTTGTCTATTAGACATCTGGTTATAAATAAAATATGTCTAAGAAAATTTTTTTAAATGGCTAAATATGTACACAATCTGTATCAACTGTAGCTAATACTTGCCATTTTGTTCTGCTTGCCTTTTTTTCCAGCAGATCCAAGATGCTACTCCAATACTACCCAGCACCCCTAGCACCCCCAGCACCACCAGCACCACCAGGACTATATAACCTGGCTCTGTAATGAACAAAGAGAAACAGTCATCAAAACTAACAAAGTAAATATATTATTCAGTTCCATTATTATTATTATTATTATTACATAGTAAATATCATTATGCTACAATATTAAAATTTGTTTAGAATTCTTGTGTGCAATTAATAAAAAAAAAAAATTTAAAAAAAAAGAGGAACATCACACAGCTAATGAGGAAGGCTGGTTCTGTGGTTGGCAGAAGAACTGGACCCCCTCACACATTAGTGTTAGAGAGAAGGACTCTTATAAAAAATGCTATCCTTTATGGACAATGCCCATCACTTGAAAACAAAGAGCTACTGTATAACCAAACTGAAGCTCAATCCTAATAAATTAAGTGAACCTTGTGGAAACGCAAGTAACAAACCCACACGCACTGTACCTTCACCCACACTGTTGGATTCCATGGTTGGGCCAGTGGGTGGTCCTTAAAATTTGAATAGCTATTATCAATAGTTATTAACAGTCACTTAACAACATTATGATTTTAATGATTGTATTGCTGGTTGAGAAGGGATGTCTGGATTGTAATGTGGGGAAACCACGTTCCTGTCAGTTGCTCAGGTTTACTAAAGCTCTTTGTTTGTTTTGGTGCATCTATACAGAGGCTGTCCCACTGGATTGTGGATGCAATAGCCTTGTCATTCAGCCAGTGTACTTAAACTGCTATGATTCAATAAGAGGTCAGTATTCTCTAAGAAAAATCTTTCCCATATCGTCAGTTACTGATGCAATGTCTCGTTCCCTCATCTCAGGGAACCAAAGTTATATTGAGCAATCAGAGACATTATTACTAATAGCTAGAGCCCCTGATTTATAAAGATTAAGTACTGTAACAAAATTGTTGGTGTGATACCAAAACAGTAACTTACTGTTCGGATTAAATAGTGTTATCCCTTTCAATACATCAAATTACAGACAGCTGTGTCTAACAACGATCACATTAGAGATATTTCAGAACTAGTTTTACATTTTCCAGTGTTTCTCTGATCGATATTTTAAACAGGTAATTTTTGCTGCTGTGGTTGCTGCATACCTGGAGATAGTTGACAGAGTTCGGCGATGTTGAGGTGTTTGGTCTGGTTGCTGATTGAATTGTTCAGCACACAGCTGTAGATGTTGATATCCTGATAATTCACCTCCAGAGGAAGAGAGAAGCTGTTGTTGAGACCAGAGACACTTGTGGAGGAGATTAAACTCTCTCCTTTGTACCAGCAGAGAGAAGGCTGATTCCTGACATTCGTGACTGAACACAGCAGGACACATTTCGAGCTTGATGATTGTTCACAGTCTTTGACAATGGTAGGAATGGGCAGAGGAGCTGGAAACACATGAGAATAAACAGAAATATTACTGAGAGGAGGATCAAAATGAAATACAGGTGGAAAAGTGTGTCTACACTCTTAAAAATAAAGGTGCTTCAAAAGGTTCTTCAAGCGATGCCATAGAAGAACCATTTTTAGTTCCACAAAGAACCATTTAGTCAAAGGTTCTTTAAAGAACCATTTCTTTCTTACCTTTTTATAATCTGAAGAACCTTCTTTCGCCACAAAGAACCTTTTGTCAAACAGAAAGGTTCTTCAGATGTTAAAGGTTCTTTATGGAACCATTTAGACAAAAAGGTTCTTCTATGGCATCGTGAAGCACCTTTAATTTTAAGAGTGTATGCAGCAGCAAATCTGAATGTACAGTTTAATAATGAACTGTAGTACAACAATACTAGTCGAACAATGCAGTATTTTTCAGTGGGCAATTCTGATATAAAATAAAAATAGACTTCAGTAAATAGTGGGCTGGCTGTTACAACATGCAATAATAACTTATACTTAATATTTATTAACTCACTAAAAACATTTGACAATAAAATGGTTAGATTATCCATTGACAAGACTTTCGATTCTGGAACTGACAGCTAATAAAATCAGCCAAGCAGGCATTTGATATTCTCAAAATTGCCAATTATCAGATGATTAATTGACCAAGAGTGTGTTTCCTAAAAGCATCTTTAGACAACTGTGGTGTTCAGTGATTCTGTGTTTCCTGAAATACCAGTTTCTAATGGACATTTGCAGTCGGAACGACATAAGCGGTGTTTTTAGAAGTGTAGTTTAATATGGCATGTGGACTTAAACAGATTGTGCTTTTGAGTGAAATAAGCAAACTATCATCCAGTATGATCGTTATCCCTCATTCCACATACTGTATACAAATTTGATTGCACATCTTATAGTTTGTCAGTAGATTCAAGTGCTGTTTCTGAACAGTGTGCATGTGTATGCTCTCTAGTAACCCAGTATGACATAAAAGAGAGTCTGCAACAGAGTCAAACAGTTGCAAATAAAGCAAAATAAAAGAGTGAACAAAAACAGATAGATACCATGTTTTTGACCATGATTTTGAGCCATGAATTTGATCTCAAACCGATTAATTATCATGTTAATACCCCACCATCTGTGTGATGTCATGAACGTCAGTTCTATATTGTTAAACAAATGTGGTTTGATGTTTGTGTCACAAAGTTCATGAGGTTTCCAGAAACAGTCAGGATTAGCCAGTTAATTTCTCCAATGATAAATCTTTTTTGATAAATCTAAGCAGAGACTTACAGTGTTGAATGGGAAACACAATCCTGATCCATATGTCAGTCATGGGTGATGTTAAACTTTTCTACAAACTTTTCTTATTTCTAGATAGCTACAGTTACTGAATTATCACCAGTCATTTACCACCGGGGCTGTATTATGCATCGGGTCAATGAGGCCACCGGGACCCAGAGATTACAGCACATTCTAAAGTAACTTCAATAGAGGTCGAAGTACTTTTTTTTTTTTTCCCAAGAAATTATATTAGCTAATTTTTATGGATGAACACAAACAGCTGTGCTATAAATATTTGTACTCTACTCTACTCGCTTCAACATGAACTCTTAAAAGGGAATGCATGTTTCTTACTCTGCCATACAATGTTAGAATAACTATAACAATTCAGAAAAAGCTGAACAAATAAAAAGATGAATTTACTCACTAGACACGATAACAGTAAATTCCTTGTCTGGCAAATTGTTGAAGATCTGTAGATTATAATGTCCAGCATCTTCAGTGCTGATGTTGATGATGATGAGAGATCCAGTCTGACTGTCTATCTTCAGTCTGTCGTTTAATTGCTCATCAGTCTCACACGATGGGATCTCACTGACGTTTCCCCAACATTGAGCTATTTTCCTGTTCTGAGGTCCAAACAGCCAAATGAGCCGCTGGTATTTTTGTACACTGCTGTGTAGGGTTGCAGATTCTCCCCCCACTTTCCTCACTTCTTCTACTGACTCAACACCAGACACACCTGGAAAACAAAATCAATAAAAGAAATTAAATACCCAGAACAAAACCATGTGATGTTCTACATCAGAAAACCAGAAAGTGTATGACCTTTCAAAAGTAAGCACTTCCAGTGTTTTCACAGTGTAAAACAGTATAATTTAGCACAGAAGAGTGGATTATGACTACATTATATTGCCATTGTATTATTAACAGGCCTCACATAATTAACAATAAAATTCATTTTTTGAATCCTGAGAATAGTCTTTCATCAACTGAAAAGGTAGTTAGTCACTTTTCAAAGTGGAAAATACTACCAAAAGCAAAAACTTTGTGTGTGTGTGTGTGTAGGCTACTGTAAGTGTTTGTATCTTATTCTGTTCAGTCAGTTCAGTCGAGCGGTCTGTTATCAGTTGTAGCAGATGTTGTCGTAAAATAACAGACCACTAGATGGTGCTATTGATAAATCAGAAATGAGTATTGCCGTTAGCCAAGCAAAATTATGAATGAATGATGCATATAGTTCTGCTCTAGCAGTGCTCGAAGAGGGCCGCTACGCACCGGTACTTCTGTACTTTAGTCTTTAGCGTACGGACACTTTTAGCGTAATGGCACAAAGCATCAGTGTCTGGGTGATTAGAAATTACACTTTACACTTAGTGTAAGAGTTCAGTCTACCGCAGGGGTTTTCAATGTTTGGGGCACGGGAAGGCGCACAGAGTAGTAAAATAATAATTAATTATTGATTACTAATTTGAACCAGTACATTAGTTCCCAGTACCGCCGCTCCCTCAGAGTAGTTTGCGTAGGGCACCAACTCCCAGGGGGGCACCATCCCAGTTGCTCAAAATAAAATAAAAACATTCGTTCTATTTTAATATTAAAATTAGCATATACATAAATACAAATATAAACATATATATATATATATATATATAAAATGCATTTTACGGTGAGCACAGTAGTCTAAGCACACGCGACCGCTCGCACCTCATGTTTGCGACTGAATGCAAATGATCATAATTGATGAACAATATGCAAGTGAAAAGACATCAGCAATCCGGCGCCGAGAAAAGAAAAATAAAAAAAGCCCAAGATGAAGCCTGTGCATCACTTTCAGTACGTTCATAATCAGGTGAAACTTTTTTGGCTGTTGATGACAATAACTTAGTAATAATTTCACCACCACTAATATTCTCTCTGAGTTTCCATGTTCCCTTACGAAAATTAGCCATGGCTTTACTACGAATAAAACCAAAAATCATGGTTCTTGTAGCCGTGGTAACCACAAATTAATAATGGTTTTGTTACTTCAAATAATAATTTACAAAGAAGTATTAAGATAAAAATGTTTGTGGTTATAAAAAGAGACCTAAGCCAACAACAGCCTTTAATATAACTTAAAATGCATTATATAAAAACAATGAGGCAATAATGATTGGTTAATTAATAGTTATATGGTTTCATTGAATAACACTGTTAAAATACATAATGTAATATAGGCTACAAAATAAACAATTTATGTACATTACATATTATTACAAATGCCTGCAAAGGGCGCCAAAGCCTAATTGCTGCTGTTACACTTACAGGATGATCAAGTCCTTGTTTAATATTGACCAAACATTTAATTCAAATATCCACTTAATCTTTACATTTTTGACCACCTTTCTGAGATAGAAATGACACAGCCTCTATAATTTATTCAACACAAACATGTGGACATCACAACCTTTACAAAAATTAACTATGGTTTTATCGTAGCAAAACTGCTCAATTTTATTTTGTGTGATTTCTGAATGCTTGAGACTATACAATCAGTCAGACAACTGTATTAATACAATCGTAGCCATAAGTGTCTAGACTACAATTGTAATTTGTAAATAATACAATTTAATTACAATTTACTTATTTATTTACTTTTATATTTTATTAAAGTTCTATTTTGACCTCTATTGTAGGTGTTTTTTTTTTTTTACTTCCATAATATTTGGGGAGGGGGCACAACAATACAATTCTGCTTAGGGCACCCATTTGGCCAGCAGCGGCCCAGTTCTAATGAAAAGAAGTAGGTTTTTGCGATCACATCATTTTAAACCGGTAAACTCCTGAAATTTTCAATGAAGCGAAAGCATTCAAACAGTTCAAAACAACTCAAATGCAGAGAAAGCCTGGCCGATTTCATCAGAGATATAGCGGAGAGAATAGCCCAGATGCCAGTAAATTATTCTTTTCAGCTTGTATTTGCCTTAAAAGCACGAGTGTTTAGATGTTGGCTGATGGAGAGATTATGCGGTGCTCAGTGCTTAGCCTACTTGTCTAAAACTTGTCTAGAGGGCACAGTTAGCGCGTGCTTTCTCAGACTTGAGTGGTAACCACGCCCATATGATTTACATCACACTGACCACTATTCAAATTAGGTTCTGTTATTACAACATTTCAAGACCCCCCATTGTTTTTTTTAAGAGCACTACACCAAAAAGCGTATTTGCCCCATTTTAGCTGATGTCCCACTTTCGCTGACTTCACCATACATTATTAGCCTATTATTTATTTATTAATGATAGCCTAACTGTATTTTACATTTAGAGTTTTTGAACAGGTATTATCAAAATATCATAAAATGCTAATAAAATAATAATCATAAAATTGAAAAGGCAGCTATTTATTTTGTATGTTGCTGAAGACATTACATGTAGATCTTGTTATTTCTACGTTGATTTACAAGTGTGTTGTCAACCTTTTTCAGTGTTGAAACAAGAGCTGATATTATTTAAATCACATTTCAACAATGAAGGTAGTGTGCCAGCCTAATGTTTGTGCTTGATTACCTGCACTTTATATAATAATTCTCTCCGATAACTAAAGACATAACACTCACAAGAGAACTGGAGAAACACACTTACCTAGAAATAGGCAAAGATAAACGATTAAGTCACATCGCATGGTGTTTTTAAAGATAACGATCTCCACCGCACAGAAGAGGTTTTATCATTAATAAACAAAA